GGAGGGGGTGGGGGAGAGAGAAATATTGATTTTAGAGAGGCACATCTATTGGTTGCCTCCTGCACCTGCCCTGACTGGGTCCAGGAATTGAACCTGCAACCCAGGTATGCCCCTTGACTGGGAATTGAACCTGTGACCCTTTGGTGTGTGGGCTGACCCTCTAACCACTGAGCCACACAGGCCAGGGCAGCCTGTGTTTAAGGCTTGTTGTGGCATATATAAAATTGTCATTCCTTTTTTGTAGCTGAACAATATTCCATTATATGGCTATACCACATTTTGTTTATCCATTCATCAGTTGATGGACATTTGTGGTTTTTTCCTACTTTTGGACTATTATGAATAGTGTAGCTGTACATATTTTGTGTGGACATATATTTTCATTTCTTTTGGGTATATACTTAGGAGCAGAATTGCTGGGTCAAATCGTAATTATGTTTAACATTTTGAGGCAACACCTGTTTTTATACAGTTCAGGAGCAAAGGATGGTTTTTATATGTTTAAGTGGTTGGGGGAAAAAGTCAAAAGAAGAGTAATATTTTGTAACATGTGAAAATTACATAGAAGTCAGATGACGGTGTCCACAAATGAAATTTCATTGTATAGCTGCATTCATTGCTTGATGTATTGTCTGTGGTGCTTCTGCACTACAAAGACGGAACAGAGTAGTTGAGACAGAGACCATATGGCCTTGCAAAGCCCAAAATACTATCTGGCCTTTTAAGAAAATGTTTGCTGACCCTTGAACTATGTGTTGGCATTATTATTAGTAATTATTGTTTGGTGGAGGCAGCTTGGGTATCTACTGCCTCTGGGTTTGATGGGTACAGGACTCAGATCACCAGCCCTCTCTGCCAGAGCATAAAGAAATGAGAGCTCACATCTGGCCCCACTTGCTGGATGGAGAAACTGAGTCCTGCAGGAGGTCTTAGGCTCATGCAAGCTGAGGAAGAAACTAGGGCCTAGCTTTCTTCTATTCCTGGGCAGCCCCTCCCCTCACTTCGTGTTCCCTGCCCCCAGCTGAGAAGACCTGGCTGTGAATAATTCATGGCTAGCTTTTGCAGAGCACTCCATCTTGTCAGAGCACTTTGATCATTAGTCAGAACCTGGCTCCGGCTGTCGCCTAATAAAACTGAAAAAGAAGTGGCTCTGATGTCTCTGCCCCTAAAACTGGAAGCTTCCATCTCCATTCCAAGGTTTTGTACCAGTAGATTCCTTCTCTCTGCCGATCACCTCATCACCTCGCAAAGACCTAAAACCTACTGTTTTGGCTGAAATCAGGCTTCCTGAAAGAAGGAAGGCAGTCTTGGGCTTGGAGCCCCAGCCCTCATAGCTGGTGTCTCCTGAGAAGTCATGTCCCTTCTCTGATCTCTGGGGTGGTTGTGGGGATTGACCAAGTTATATTGGTAAGGATTCTGAAAGGACCCTCATCCACTGCTGGTGGGAAGGTAAAATGGCACAGGTGCTTTGGAAAACACTGGCAGTTCCTCAAATGATTAAATGAAGAGTTATCACATGACCCAGCAATTCCTCTCCTAGGTTTATAGTCAAGAGAAATAGAAATATGTCCCCACACAAAAACTTGCACACAAATGTTCATAGCAACATTATTCAAAATAGTCAAAGAGTAGAAACAGTTGGCATATCTATACAGTAGAATATTATTCCATAAAAAGTAACAAAGTACTGATACATGCTGCAATGTGAATGAACCTAAAAGCATTATGTTACCTGAAAGAAGCCAGACACAAAAAGCCACATATTGTATGAGTGCATTTATATAAAATGTCCAGAATAGGCAAATCCATAGAGACAGAAAATAGATTAGTGGTTACTAGGAGCTGGGGAGGGAATAGAGAGTGGAGGTCTCTTTTTGGGGTGATGGAAATGTTCTAGATTTGATTGCGGTGGTGGTTACACAACTTTGTGAATATATTAAAAACCACTGAATTGCATATTTAAAATGGTTAAATTTCATGGTGAATAAATGATACCTCAGTAAAGCTGTTTTTAAAAAGTGCTTTGGTTACTCTGCCTCAGTATTTGGCAGATCTAGATAAAAGTACCAGGGGACTAGAGTTCAGTGTGGTTGAAAAAAGCAGTATGCCCCGCCGGGTGTGGCTCAGTGGTTGAACATAGACCTAGGATCCAGGCGATCGGGGTTTCATTCCCGGTCAGGGCACATGCCCGGGTTGCAGGCTCGATCAACGACTCTCTCATCATTGATGTTTCTATCTCTCCCTCTCCTTTCCTCTCTCTAAAATCAATAAATATATATTTAAAAAAAAAAAAAAAAAAAAGCAGTATGAATGGGGCCTGAGAAGAGTTGCCAAGGTGGGAGGGGTCCTGAAACTGATTTATATAATTTTTTCCCTAAACTTGGAAGCCATTTCCTTAAAGCCTCAGAAGTGACAGGCTGTAAAATCTTTTCTATGTTGGGGGAGAGATGGAGGGGATCCTGGTTGCAATTATTTTCAGGTTCTGTTTTCTCTGGGGAAGATTTTCTGGTCTCTTGCTGCTGCCCTAGGCCCCACAGAATAGCCTTTGCAGGAACGCCCCTTCTCTAGGGGACTCATAGCAGTGATGGGTTAAGGCTGTGTTTTGGGTGCTAAGAGTATCAGAAGGCTTCAGCAAGAACCTGGGAGAGCCCTAGCCAGTTTGGCTCAGTGGTTAGAGCAGCAGCCCTTGGATTGAAGGGTCACAGGTTTGATTCCGGCCAAGGGCACATACCTCGGTTACAGGTTCAATCCTTGGCTCCGGCCAGGACTTGGTGCGGGAGGCAACCAATTGATGTGTTTCTCTAACACTGATGTTTCTCTCTCTCTCTTTCTCTCTTCCATCCTTTCTGAAAAGCAATGAAAAAAAAAATCCTCCGGTGAGGATTTTTAAAAAAAGAGCCTGAGAGACATGAGAGATTGACATCCTGGCAGGACAATGTACAGCACAGGTGCCTGATCAGTCCTGATTTTCTTTCCAGCAGCACTGGCTCCCACTTTTCCTCCTACACCTGGTCACTACCATGTCCCCTACCCAAGGTAGGGAGAAACCCACGTAGGCTGGCGTGGGGAGACATACTGCCAGGTCGGTGGCTACCAGTCTTATGGGGATGCTCCTTTGACCACCCCAGCAAAGGTAGAGGCAGAGAAGCCAGTCCCCAGAGGAGCACTCAAGCGACCTCATCCTGTGGAAATGTCCGACAAAGACCTTGGTTGCTCCAGTCCTAAAATGTGACGCCTGGAGCATGATGGCAAGAGGCTGACCCCACAGAAGCTGGCTGGCTGGGACGCTCTGCTGAGAGAGCAAATGTTTAACAGCCAGACAGCTAATGCCTCTTCCTTCAGTGACCCCCACTGCTCACCACCTACCTGTTCTCTGTATTTATGAGTTTATTTTTAGATTCTCCTTTAAGTGAAATCTTATAATTGTCTTTGTCTGTCTGATTTATTTTACTTAGCAGAATGCCCTCAGGCTATGTATTTTTAACACTTTGTAAAGTGAACACACAGTAGTTTTGTAATCAAAGTAACAACGAAAAAAAACTAACACTAAATACAAATGTCATTAACATTTTTTTTAGGGGATGAGAGGAGACTTCTTTCCAATGTTTCAGCTTTTCCCTCTTGGGCCTCCCTCTCTCTCTTCCCTATCCCCTCCCCCTCACCCCCAGTCCCCTCCCCTCTGCCCACCAGATTGCATTCCTCACTTCTTTTCCCAAAGAACTGTAATTAAGCTCTTACTCTGTAATTGCCATTTCATGGTTCCTCATCTGAAATCATGTCCTGCTTGGCATGGTTTCCACCTCCTTCTCAGCCTCGGAAAGCAGGGGCAGGATTCAGCAGAGCCCAGGATGGGGCCTCGTGCTGGAAGAATGAATATTCCCTCTGTGTGCCAGGCACACTTTATGTGCTCGGCCTCTTCCCTAAATTACCTTGATTGATCCTCCCAACAAACTTGTGAGAAAACTGAAGCTTGGGGAGGTAGAGTAAGTCACCCCAAGTCCTCACAGGTGGTTGGTGGAGCTGGTGTTTGAATCCAGTTTGATCTCAAAACTGGGAGGTAATACTGTACTTTCACTCCCTCAACTGACAAGTATATTCTGAACTCCCCACACCAGGCACCAATGCTCTAGTGGTAGTTCGATATCAAAGCTGGCATCCTCACCCCTCCCTGTATCCTCACCCTTTACAATATGACTTCACAGCTCCATCTTCTAAAAAGTCCGTTTCTGCAGCCCTTGGATCTGAAACAGCCTTGCTTTGACCCATAGAATGCAGCAGAAATAACGGTGTACCCACCACACCAAGGCCTGAGAAAGCTTGCATACTTCTGCTCTTTCAGCACACTCGCTCTGCCATGAAAACAAGCCCAGGCTACTCTGCTGGAGCATCATGGCCCAGTCACCCCAAAGCCAGCCAATTGCCAGACAAGTGAATGAGGCCATCCTAGACCTGTGGGCCACCAGCTGACTTGCTGGCTGACTGAGGAGACATGAATCAGCCCAGTAGAGATTAGCTAAGCCTGCTCAGATCAGCAGAACCACCCCCTGGCCCACAGACTCATGAGCAATTGTGTCAAGCCACTGAGTTTAGGGAAGGTTTATTATTCAATAATAGCTAATTAATACAGCCCCTTAAAGAGGAGACCAGGTGAGAGGCTGTTGGGATGACCCCAGTGTTCTAGAGGAAAGGACACTGGCTTACAAACATCTTTTTAATGCTTACTGTGTGCCAAGCATTTTCATTTAATCCTCACAACAACTTTATGAGATAGGTACTTCTATTGTCCCCATTCTACAGGTGAGGAGCCTGAGGCAGAGTGGTAAATAATTTGCTCAGGATCCCAAAGTTAACAAGTCAACATGTGGGAAGTAGGAAATGCAGTCCAGAAGGCTACCTTGTGAACCCACTGGGGGCAAAGACAGGCATTCAGAAACATGATGATGGAGGCACTTCCCCACTGAGCAGTCAGTAAGAAGGTGATCCTTTGGGAAAATAAGTTATTTAAGTAGACAGAATAATAATAATAGTTCAATTTAGAAGTATTGGTTTATTAAACCTTATTTATATTTATTAAATAAGAATCTCCTCAGAGGACAGTTAATCTGGAGATCAGGTGGTACAAAGTACAAAGTTAGGTGCTGTATTAGTCTGGGCTCTCCAGAGAAACAAAACTAATAGGATGTGGGTATATATAATAGAGAGATATATCTTAAGGAATTGGCTCACACAATTGCAGAGGCTTGACGAGTCCGAAATCTGATAGGCCATTTAGCAGCTGGAGACTCAAGAAAGAGTTTCAGTTTGAGTCCAAAGGCAGTCAGCTGATAAACCAGGAAGAGCTTCAGCTGAGATGCTGTTGCAGCCCTGGCCGGGTGGCTCAGTTCATTGGAGCATTGCCCCCATGTGCCAGGGTTGCGGGTTTGATCCCTAGTCAGGGCACCTACAAGAATCAACCAATGAATGCATAAATAAGTGGAACAACAAGTCGATATCTCTCTCTTTCTCCTTTCCTCTCTATAAAAAATAAAATAAATTTAAAAAATTAAATTAAAGAAAAAAGTTGTTGCAGAAGTGGATAGAGACCTAAATTAGGGTCATGGAGAAGGAAACGGGAAAGAACAAGCTTGGGTTACATTTCTTTTTGCAAGATATGAAATATTGTTTTTATAAAATCATGCGTTATTTGTGTATGTGTTTNCTCCCCTCTGCCCACCAGATTGCATTCCTCACTTCTTTTCCCAAAGAACTGTAATTAAGCTCTTACTCTGTAATTGCCATTTCATGGTTCCTCATCTGAAATCATGTCCTGCTTGGCATGGTTTCCACCTCCTTCTCAGCCTCGGAAAGCAGGGGCAGGATTCAGCAGAGCCCAGGATGGGGCCTCGTGCTGGAAGAATGAATATTCCCTCTGTGTGCCAGGCACACTTTATGTGCTCGGCCTCTTCCCTAAATTACCTTGATTGATCCTCCCAACAAACTTGTGAGAAAACTGAAGCTTGGGGAGGTAGAGTAAGTCACCCCAAGTCCTCACAGGTGGTTGGTGGAGCTGGTGTTTGAATCCAGTTTGATCTCAAAACTGGGAGGTAATACTGTACTTTCACTCCCTCAACTGACAAGTATATTCTGAACTCCCCACACCAGGCACCAATGCTCTAGTGGTAGTTCGATATCAAAGCTGGCATCCTCACCCCTCCCTGTATCCTCACCCTTTACAATATGACTTCACAGCTCCATCTTCTAAAAAGTCCGTTTCTGCAGCCCTTGGATCTGAAACAGCCTTGCTTTGACCCATAGAATGCAGCAGAAATAACGGTGTACCCACCACACCAAGGCCTGAGAAAGCTTGCATACTTCTGCTCTTTCAGCACACTCGCTCTGCCATGAAAACAAGCCCAGGCTACTCTGCTGGAGCATCATGGCCCAGTCACCCCAAAGCCAGCCAATTGCCAGACAAGTGAATGAGGCCATCCTAGACCTGTGGGCCACCAGCTGACTTGCTGGCTGACTGAGGAGACATGAATCAGCCCAGTAGAGATTAGCTAAGCCTGCTCAGATCAGCAGAACCACCCCCTGGCCCACAGACTCATGAGCAATTGTGTCAAGCCACTGAGTTTAGGGAAGGTTTATTATTCAATAATAGCTAATTAATACAGCCCCTTAAAGAGGAGACCAGGTGAGAGGCTGTTGGGATGACCCCAGTGTTCTAGAGGAAAGGACACTGGCTTACAAACATCTTTTTAATGCTTACTGTGTGCCAAGCATTTTCATTTAATCCTCACAACAACTTTATGAGATAGGTACTTCTATTGTCCCCATTCTACAGGTGAGGAGCCTGAGGCAGAGTGGTAAATAATTTGCTCAGGATCCCAAAGTTAACAAGTCAACATGTGGGAAGTAGGAAATGCAGTCCAGAAGGCTACCTTGTGAACCCACTGGGGGCAAAGACAGGCATTCAGAAACATGATGATGGAGGCACTTCCCCACTGAGCAGTCAGTAAGAAGGTGATCCTTTGGGAAAATAAGTTATTTAAGTAGACAGAATAATAATAATAGTTCAATTTAGAAGTATTGGTTTATTAAACCTTATTTATATTTATTAAATAAGAATCTCCTCAGAGGACAGTTAATCTGGAGATCAGGTGGTACAAAGTACAAAGTTAGGTGCTGTATTAGTCTGGGCTCTCCAGAGAAACAAAACTAATAGGATGTGGGTATATATAATAGAGAGATATATCTTAAGGAATTGGCTCACACAATTGCAGAGGCTTGACGAGTCCGAAATCTGATAGGCCATTTAGCAGCTGGAGACTCAAGAAAGAGTTTCAGTTTGAGTCCAAAGGCAGTCAGCTGATAAACCAGGAAGAGCTTCAGCTGAGATGCTGTTGCAGCCCTGGCCGGGTGGCTCAGTTCATTGGAGCATTGCCCCCATGTGCCAGGGTTGCGGGTTTGATCCCTAGTCAGGGCACCTACAAGAATCAACCAATGAATGCATAAATAAGTGGAACAACAAGTCGATATCTCTCTCTTTCTCCTTTCCTCTCTATAAAAAATAAAATAAATTTAAAAAATTAAATTAAAGAAAAAAGTTGTTGCAGAAGTGGATAGAGACCTAAATTAGGGTCATGGAGAAGGAAACGGGAAAGAACAAGCTTGGGTTACATTTCTTTTTGCAAGATATGAAATATTGTTTTTATAAAATCATGCGTTATTTGTGTATGTGTTTTAAAATATAATATATGCAGTCTAACCAGGTTGCTCAGTGGTTAGAGCACCGGCCCATGGACTGAAGGGTCCTGGGTTTGATTCTGACCAAGGGCATGTACCTCGGCTGCAGGCTCAGCCCCAGTTGGGGCACATGCGGGAGGCAACCAATCGGTGTGCCTCTCCCATAGATGTTTCTCTCTCCTTTCCACTCTCTCTCAAAAACCAATGGAAAAAATATCCTCAGGTGAGGATTTAAATAAATTAATATAATAATATAATTATAATATAATATAATATAATATAATATAATAATATAATAATATAATAATATAATATAATCAAAGAATCTTATAAATCACTAGGCTTCATACTAGTCAGCTGAAGAGGCTTAGAGGGAATGGTGTTGTGTGCGTGCATGTTTATTTTTTTAAATAAAATCATGTATTAGTTTTCAACCTTACAAAAACCCTGTGAGGTATGATGTTGTTAGCTCCACTTTACAGATGAAGAAATTGAAGCTCAGAGAGAGTTTGAAGCACTTGCTCAACGTCACACAACCAGTCCTCTTACCACTTCAGCAGTCCTTCCCCAGGGGCACTCTGAAGGAGTAGTTAAGGAGACTTCATGATTAATTGAATGGAGGAGAGAAGGAGGGAAAAAGAGAGGAAGGGATTAAAAATA